AAGGAAATAAGGGAAAAGAAAATATATTAAAAAAGAAAAAAATGGAAACAAAGTCCTTGTAAATAGATAAGGGTAAAGGTGGTGAAGGGAGGGCTGGTGAATGGGGATAAATAAGAACCAAGATATATCATGTGAAGGAACAAGATCCTAAAGATGAATTTAACTGTATTGTTTAACTTAAATATACCAATAAACTTAATGAAAAAAAAAGAAATACAAATGGCCAATAAAAAGAAGAAATGTTCAGCATTGCTTTCCATTAGAGAAATGTAAATTAAAGCTACTTTGAGATACCATGTTGCCTCAAAAGAATGTCTATCATCAAAAAATCTAATAATAACAAATGCTGGTGAGGATGCAGGGGAAAAGAAACCCTTCTACATTGTTGATGGGAAAGTAAACTAGTACAACTCCTATGGAAATCAGTGTGGAGATTCGTTTCAAAACAAAAGAGAAAATTCATTTAACTCTGCTCTAGTTAAAATGATCACATTACAGGGATACATGCATACCCATATTTATAGCAGCACAATTTGTAACAGATCTTGACAATAGTGTATATGTCCATCAAAAGAAAAATGGAGAAGACAAATGTGCTATTTATACTCAGTGGAGACCAACTCTGCCATAAAAATATGAATTTGAGGAATTTGTAGCTAAATGGATGCAACTTGAGAACATAATGTTAAGTGAAATAAATTAGATACCCAAGCTTAAATATCACATGGTTTCCTCTTATATCGGAATCACACACATATATATATATGCAAATGAGCAGTGGAAGGTAGACACAGGAAGTGGGCAGAAGTTCAACTGGCTCTCCAAATTGTCTATTATTTTGTTTCAAAAAAATTTAATATGTATATTAATTGGTTTCATTTGTACTTCCAATTTCGCTTAGTTCATTGAAAAAAAAAGTTTTGTGCTAACATGTTTGTGTCTTCTGTGCAAGAGATAAACTTTTTTGCCAGGTCTTGTACTCTGATTAACTTCAGTACATTGAAAATAATGATACACAATGTATTAACTACCATTATCTCTTTTAATTTTGTTATGATTGTTTTTGTGAAATTAAAAAAGAAAGGAGACTAGTACCTTGACTATATAGCCTCACATGTCAATACATGAGAACAAGGATTTCAGGATATTCTTTCTGATGACCTTGCTCAACAGGAAGGTTTTACACAAGCACACTAATATAGTGGCCAGGAAATTTCACATAATGTCTCAGTCAAAGTGGGCAAATTTCCTGGGGAGTACTTTGGTTCATGGAAGTTTCCCATGTGTGACATATAGAATAAGAACTGGAGAATAGTAGCACTTCCAGACCCGATATTCTTGCCAGGGACCCACAAATCTTTAGAAAATAAATGATCAGATTTCAGCAGCCCATTATTGTATTAAATTCGTGTGTTTCACATATAAAATTTAGCATGCTTGTATTAGGGACATGTTTTTTTTTT